TCACCTGGTCGGGACTTGCTTTACAGATTTCCCCTCTCTCGTTTTTAAGATATAAACTACTCCTTTGATTTCCTGAATTACATAGGGGCCTTCAAACTTTGGAGCTAGCTTTGCCATAAAATTGTCTGGGGCACTTGATAAGAAATTTCGTTTCAATACTTTATCACCAACTTTAAAATCTGCTTCACGGCGTTTTTTATCGTAATAATTTTCTGCCTATTTTCTTGCCGTATCCGAGGTTTTAAGCACCGATCAATTAGTTTTTGCACGTCCTTTTGTTTTGAATTCCTGCTCTCTTTGTTGCCACAAGAATAATTTATCTAAAGGCGTAATTAACTTTCTGCCTAAAAATAATTCTGCTGGAGTTTTTCCCGTGTACATGATGTGCCGTTCTTAAAGCATAAGCTAATTCATTTATGTAGCCATCCCAGCGCTTGTGATGTGTGCTAACGTAACTGCGAATTATTTTTACATGTTTTTATTAACTCTTTCTGCTATGTTAGCCTGTGGTCTATACGGAACCATTTTGATATGGCGTAATCCAGTCCATTGCATATGTTTTCAAATATTTGACTAATGAATTGTTTTCCGTATCGCTACTGACTTTTATCGTTGCACCGTATTTTAAATGTATCTCACCCAAAGGCATGCGTAAAAATGCATAAGTGCCCGATTTGTTATAACGCGTTTTATGTATATATCTTCGGTCTCATAGCTATTTGATAGTAGCTAACGTTAGTCCAAAGTAGACATAATTCTCGTCGATTTGATCTGTCTAATGATCTCGTCTATAACCGGCAAAGGGTAAACTGGAATTTAGTTATGCTATTTAGTTTTCTTAATCGATAGCAAACCTCCAAGCCCTTTTATCCGAAGGAGGAAACTCGTTCTTTTTCCTACATAGTACGACTGGACTCGCGTATTCACTATTATGGGCGTTTATTTTATTCTTTAACATCTCCTGAATATGTTCTTCGATGATTACGTCTTTTTGTTTGTCATAGCGGTAGGTTTAGTCCTACAAGTTTTTCGGCATTTAATTGAATCTTGTGAGTTACAATCTGACAGTTTCCCCCGGCTTTTCTGAAAACAAATGAGAAAAATTACTCACCACTTGCTGTATTGCTTTACTTTCCTGGTCATTCAAATGGCTAAGGTCCAATTCAGGTGTCTCCACCGGTTTCCACCACCCTCTGGTCCATCTCCAGCACCACGGAACTATCTTGAAAATTTAATTTGGCCCCTCGCGGCCCTTAAAAAGTCCATACCTAAAATAAGAGAGTGTTGGAGGTGTTTCACCACAAAAATTAATACTTTGAGATTTTTCCTCTTTTACCTGTACGTTTAATGCTACTTTCCCGATGCAGTGACATGTTTTTTTCCTTGCGCCGCTATAATTTCCGTATTTCTGGTTTTAAAGAGTCGTATCCTATAAAAATTCTTTTTGAAGAACTTTTCACTCATGAAATTGCCTTCTGCCCCTGTATCGATGAGGGCTTCTACTGGTACATCGCCAACCAGGACTTGTATAATTGGTAGCTGTGAGTTTTTTACGATGACTGTATTTAGATGTCTATTTGAGGGTTTATCTAAAACTTCCGGGTCTGGACCCTCCCTTTCACAGGCCCCTCTAGTCGTTTAAAACTTTCCTTTCAATCTGTGTCTTCTGGTACGCGGATGCTTATTTTCAAATTTTCTTTTTGGGCCTTGCCCTTCAAGTTTCGATGCGTTAGCTTGATAGTTCTTTCCCCCCTATGAGCGATTTCCATTTCTTGTTTCCTCCTTCCTTCTGGTACTTTGAGATATGTTTCCCTCTCGCTCTTTCCGCGATTCTGCGATTTTGAAACTTCACCGCCATTCGAAAAGTTCCTGCAATGTGGTTGGGTTTCTAATTTCAAAGTAGTCTTGGACAGCGGGTAACAATCTTGGTAATATTATTTTTCAATAATCTCCGCATCGGGTTTTTTCCCATACAACATATCCGTTAGCCTTGATTTTTCGTAAAATAAAGTCCGTCAATTGTGCTGTATCCCGTTGATAGAAACTATATAGCTCGGCTTCCAGCCGTGCGCGATCTTTCACTATGGGAAGGCCTTTACTAACGATTTTTTGAAATTTTCAAAAGTATACGTCGGGCTTCCAAATTCACCTAGAAGAAATTTGCCTATATTTTTCCACCATAGCGCGGCCTGTCCTCTTAGTGCTGATGTGGCGATAGCAACGTTTTTGTCTTTCGGGCACAGGATAGAGCTGAAAGTGGTTTTCTATACCTTCTAAAAATACGGACACACCGAATTTTTTTTCCGTCGAAATAGACGTTTGGCTTGATTGATGCTCTCAAAGTCTGGACCAGGTATCCAATCCTTCTAACTGCGTTGTCATTTCTTGGTGTTGTCCAGCGGCTTCCATCCAGTTTTCGGCCATTTCAGTTCGATAAGTGTTCGGGCGGGCCAATATAACGTTTGCGCGCCTCTAACTAGCACGCAACCAAGAGGTGACTGTGAAAGCTTGTATAAACCACAGAGTCTTATAAAGGGTTTAAGTCCCTTTTTATTCAACGTACTAATTTACAATTGCGTTCTCTTGACGCTTACAAACGGTGCCAACTCGGCAGTCAAAATAAAATAAAAACCTGAAAAGAAATTAAAGACAATATTCTAACTACGAGGCTCTCTCAAATAACTAACTCACCGCGTTTTACAATACGGCTGCTAATTCAGCAGACTTGAAGCTCACTGGAACAATTGCAACTACTTTCCCGCCAAGCACATAGGCCGCAACGCGGGTTTTTTCAAATTCTCTATAACTACCTCCGCGCTCGCTAAGTAAGAATAACTCTCTCTCACCGAACTTGTTTCCTTCTATTTAAATCATACTACTTCCGCTGATAATTTGAATGCTTGCGCGTTCTACTCAAATTTACATATTCTGGCATTGGCAGTTCCAGGGGAAAGTAAGGATTGACAGGAAAGATAGTTTAAACTTAAAATAAATGTTAGTTAAAATAAATATAAACCCTACACAGTTACTAAAACAATAGAACAAATAATTTAATTTCAGTTAGCAACAGTAACCACAAGCTTAACTTTCAATAACCACCAGATAACTTTTGATCCTCAAAAACAGAACTATATCCAAAATAAACCTAGTCTCAAATAACTGGCATAACCTTTCCAAAATCACAAAAATGGTACTTCACCAATTTTGAAGACACCTTTGATTGACTCTTCCTGGCACTACTTGGATATTCTTCCGGGAATTTCACTATTTTGCGGCACTAGATCACGCTTCCTCCGGCGTTCCCTTCTGACACACTGTCACTTGTCACTGAAGAGGCTTCACCCCGCGAACTGTCCTTGCATGCCAAATTAGATCATTCTTGAAGAGAAGAACGTCTTGACTGTTCACAGGCGAAAAAGTCCGTTCCTAAATTTACTCTCAGTAACAATCCCTAAAAGCTGCCACCAACTTTTAATATTTAATGCTGTGGTGTAGTGTTAATGCTTCAACGGTGTGATGTTGAACTCCAATGAAAACGCTAATGACGGAACATCACATGAAAATTTTATTGAACGCCCAAAAAAATGGCTACATACAATACAGAAGAGAAAAACCTAAATCTTTTCCTTAAAATCAAATTCTATACATTTTACGTGCGAGAGCAATTCGTGGCTCTCGAGCTTGCGTTTTTAACATTGCCAACGATTTAATTATTTTAATAAAGATTATTTTAACAACTACTGAAAACGTATTTGTAAGTTAAAAAATAATAATTTTCAGCTTATGCTCACGAGACATCCTTGTCCATATAAATCTTCAGTCTCTTCTTCTTTTATGTGACCTTATCACAATAGCATTGTTCTAACATTGTTATTTTGACAGAAAATCGTACTTTTTCTGAAATGACCTACCGAGGATTTTCCATATTTCGATCCTAGGACTGAAATTATGTTTAAATAATAAGTTGTATAAAATTTAACAAGACATTTAAAAATTTATCTTGACGCATTTTTTCCACTATGTGTCAAGAATAATTCACATGGAGAAATTTTTAATTTATGGTAACCTATTTTCGTTTCTCTTTCATAGTGCACGAGAGGAAAGGAAGGTGCATCGTACATTCTTTCAAATTTTTTTAACAAAGTGGGTAAACCACTGTTGCATTTTTATCGCTTATAACGAATATGCCAAATTTCAAAACGCGCCAATATATAAATACACATATATCTTGGGAAAGTTTCAATAAAAACTGCGATTTTTTGCAGGGATGCCTAGAAAATAGAAATACATCTACTAAGTTGATGGTAAAAATTTTATGTGTTATAATTCAAATGTTTTCGAGAAATTTATAAAAAATTACTAAGAAGTACAAATTAAAAAAAATGAATAAAAAATATCTGCGAATTATATTTGGATTGAACCGAAATTTCGAGCTGTGAAAGGAAGAATAAAGTAAGTTTAACAATAAAAAGAAATGTTAATGAATACATACTAAATTCAATTGACATTGAGAAACTAAAATTTCGAGAGCTAATTTTTTAAAAACTACTCATGCGATTTTAACAAAACTCGTCAATTTGGCATAATTTAAGTAGTAGAATCGTAATATGGAAAAAATAGTAAATCATTTCAGAAAAAGCCCGATTTTGTGTCAGATTATCAATATTATAAGAATACTATAAATATATGTCCTAATCGAGGTCTCGAAACATGAAAAAGCATGTTAAATTTCGTCAACTGGCTTAGTAGAACGGGAGATACTATAGAATTGACTCTCCTTTATGGTGCGTTTGCGTAAGGAGTGTAATTATTGTTCTTCTAAGAACAGAAATTAATTCACTTTTGAAATAAATTAGCTAATCAAAAGTCATAAATATGGAGTAACGACTCAAGTTTCAATATGCTAATTTCACAAACTCTTATTTTTCTCTTAAAAGATGTGCATTTCAGTTTTTAAAAATTCCTATTATTTTATGTAAAGCTATTCATAATTCACTTACCTAATTTTTCCAGATGGATTTGGTAAAGTATTAAAGATCGACTTTTCATAATTCGGTTCCCTTTTCTCACACAAACCCTGAAACATGCGAATACTATGAAACATGCGAATACTATACTTTAAAACAGTTATTTTTTCAAACCATATTTTGAGGCAAGTTTCTATAGATACTGTAGCTACTATACAGCACTAAAACTAAATTTCATCTGAAAGGTACTGGCAGTTAGAGATATTTGGAAATAGAAAAATATTTGCATCAGATTCGTTTTTAATATCCAATACTTCCTTCTGCTTGTTATTATTGTACCAGAAAAATAAAAGTATAATGGAGAGTACAGTACTAACCTTGTGTTTCATTTTTTTTTATTGCTTCAAATAAATGTTATTGGGGTTTGGTTTGGTATAAATGTTATTGTGGTTTGGTCTCGGCTGCTGGTGGACAAATGTTCTAATGACTAATTCCGTTAATCTAATTGGAATATATTCTGATTTAAAAATAACATCTCAAGCGGTTTAGTAGCGGAGGGGAGATAACCGCTGAATATTTGCAATGTGATTGATCTTTTATCAAGATGCTGGTGCCCAGATCTGGTCTTGAATGTCCTAGGGCTAGTGGACATAGTTTTAATTTCGTATACTTGAAATGAGAAGATCAACAGAGGCAACGAAATATTGCACTCATGTGCGCGGGATAATTTTACATTTTGATTCGTGTTATTTTTGTAACATGTACAGGCAAATACACACTAAAATATTTTTATTTCGGTAAAACATAAACTAATGGAAAATGAAATCCGAGTACCAAAAAGAAATCAGTTTAGAAGAATGAAATGTAGGCAAATCATTTGTCAAAGTAACATATTTATTTGATTAATGTTTCAGTGTCACCAGTTAAAGTATACGCGAGAAAAGAAATTTCAAATGTGAAATGGTGGTACATTGATAAGCCTTGTTATCATCACGATGTTGAATGCATTATATTGTACAGGTGCCGTATGTCATTTTGTGGGATGGAGATCCATGTCTGTTGAACTTAGTCAAACAAATCAGGAACGATCCTTGTTGTGGACTTGTTGTTCTTGTTGTGGACGACGCTGGATTTGTCGTCCAGTCATGTCCCGTAAGTACTTGAAGGGAGTAAGATTGCGTAATCCCACAGGCCAAGGCAGCATGTCGAGTTCCTGTAGAGCACGTTGGGTGATAGCAACGGTATGGGGACGAGCGTTATCCTATTGGAAAATGGTCCCAGGAAAGGCAGTATAACTGAGGGAATCACTAGTATAATGTACAGGGTGTTTTGCTTTTAAGCTGATACTAATCAGGTCATCTGTAGTTTGATCTATCAGATGGAATGCCACCAAATTAGGTAGGGTTTGTTCATCAATAGAATCAACCACCACTCTTGAGTTTAAAAATCGCAACATCCTACAGAAAGCCTTTCTATCAATTAATTCATTAAAAGGCATGATTCAGAATTTTGAAGAAACAGGAACTTTGGCAAAGTTCGTTTTGGTACAGAGGGAAAAAGGTGTACTGATGTCGTGACTGCAATCGTTGATGGTACCTATGAGACCATTGCTAGTAGTAGCAGTCTTGGGGATGGCGTGACTGTTAGATTTGAATCTTTCAGCGGTATGGCAGATTTTTCAGAAAGTTCTTCACTTTTACCTATAAAAGATAAGCCGCTTACAGGAATTGAAACACAATGATTATGATAAACGGTCAGCATTTGCTATGACATTTCTTGTTATAATGAAAATTGACAATGTTTGGCAATGGGAAGCTAAGGATATATGAGGCCCCTTGTCGTTTTTTTTTCCCACTTGTATGGCCTCCTCGCTACTCGGATCTAACCTCCATGTAACATTTTCTTGTGGGGTTATTTCAAGTTCTATCTTGGTGGAGTTCCGATCTCAAAGACTTAAAGGACAACTTATCAGACTGAGCATTGTTTTCATGTGCGTTCTTGGTGACATTATGTTCAGTAGCCGAAAATATTGTGTGCGGAAAAATAAGCGCTTATTCCATTCACAATGAATCATAGATTAATTAAGAATTATACTCTGTTCCAAGCTTATCTTCGAAGTCATTTCCGTTAACGCTTTAGACTACATATTTGTGTGATGTTTTAGACAATAAGCATAGTATTTACACTAATTAAATCAGTAGCTTCCTGAAAAATTGTATACTGTATTGTATTATCCTTTTGCACTTTTCAAATCAGAAAATATCAAAACATTTAAATAAAGGAACAAAGAGCTTAATTTTAACTAACCGAAAATGAAGAATAAGGCATCTGTATTTATATTCCAGATTTCAAAAATAGTGATAACTAGACTTCCGTCATAGAAAAGATGTTAAACATCCTGAGAACTAAATCACGCATAAAGCATTCACTTATTAGGGACAGTTACGAAAATTCACCCCATAATCGTGGGTTAAGTAATGAAAATTCACAAAACTTTCGCAGACTGGCATTTACTCTGACACGTTTACGAAAATTATCGCGGTAGTAATCTTAATGTTAATGTTTTGGGGGGAGGATATACGAGAAAAATAAGCTATAATACACATCTTTTTGTACATAAATATAAATTATATTACACAATCTTTAATTGAAATTTATTTTATAACCCAGTCTTTATATACTGTGCGTACAGAAATTTTCTTCACTAAGTAGCATGCCTTTTGTAAAGAATCGTTCGGCCCTGAAGGGCGACTTTATGTTATTACGACTCACCAGCGGACGAGCGGTGCTAAACACTAGTAGTTCGGTCCGAGGTTCGAATCTCCCGAACGGGTTGACTAGGGCTGGCTGTATTTGCGTCTTCGGGGTTTTCCTCACGTGTAATGTGCATACGAGCCACTTTCCCTTAAAAAAAGTTCTCCACGAAGGCATCCTCTCTTAGGCAGATAATCGAGCGGACTGCCATAATCAAATAAACTTATGTTAATGTATTTAATTATGGCAAACCTTATGTTGATGTATTTAATTATGGCAAAGCACACTAGGGCTATCTGCCTAAGGGAAGGGATGCCTTCGTGGAGGATTTTCTAAGGGAAACTGGCTCGTATACACGTTACACATGGGGAAAACCACAAAAACACCCATGCAGCCAGCCCGTTCGCGGAATTCGAACCTCGGACTGATCTACCAATGTTCAGCGACTTTACCGCTCGGCCCCTGGTGGGCCCCAAACCTTATGTAATTAGGGAAAATGACGTTTATCCGTATTTTCACAATCCAGCAAACTTAGAATATTTCAGTGTTGAAGTTTGGATTAGGGCTACTTCACAATGCATTTTGCGGAAGAAACAGGAAGTAATATAGAAGTTACTTGAATACTTGAATACGCAAGTAATTTTAAAATTATCATAGGAATTAAACAAATTAATAGGAATAAATTCGAAATTCGCGTAAGCCGTTTTAATATCTAATATTTGGGGAATTTAAAAAAATTAAAAATTTTCGAAAATAATCTTCGAAGTTTGATTTGCGAGAAGTTTACTGTGGTCACACCTAAATAAGATGACAAGAATATTTTGGAGTTTAACTGCTCACAGCATCCGTCTTTACATCGCAATCAGGTATTAAAAGATGTAGTTCTAGTCACGTTAATGATTTCAATTCGTATTTTATCTTCAGAACGATAATTTATTTTACAGGCTCAAAAGTTGTCAAAAGTCATTGCTGTCTTATAAATATTTTGCATATTTGGGAATACTTTCAATTACTATTTCTCTCAAAGATAATTACTAATAAGTAATCTTATGGTAAAAGGAGTGAAACTTACTCTTGCTGCACCTATCCAAAACAACTGATTCTTTGTATAATGCAATCCTGGAAGCGTTTTGTCATGTTCTTGATGCTTTAACCAAGCCTGTAAGCATTAAATAAAAATAATGTAATGAAGTATAGCGCTGAAATCAAAACAGAAAATAAAATTTCAATATACTAGCCATTGATTACTCAAGCACAATATTTATCTAAAGCAGAGATTCCCATCTTTTTTCTTGCATCCACCCTTTTATAAGAGCCCCATAATGTGATCATAATACAAATAACTGCATATCAATAACTTAAAAACAACAATTAGATTAAGGATATGAACAACATATTAAAACATTGTTGTTTTGAAAAAATGATTTATTAGATTTAATTAATTTCCATATTATTATTAATTTTAATTTTACAAACATAAACTAGTAATATGAACGTGCCGGTTCACTTCCAGGATCTCAAACTAGCAGACGAATTGCGGATGAACCCGCACGCGAAAATCGTAGATCTTTTATTGATTTCCCACGTTTCCTTAATATTACCTTAAATTTTAGGATTTTTTAGTCTTTATATTTTTCTTCATATTTGAGTTATTTTATTGTGTAAATAAATAATGGTTAATTTTTATGCACCCTTAGCAATTTCATCTCTTATTTTCAACTTTAATGATGGATTCGAAGACATTTACTTAATTTTGGATGTAATGTTTTAATTATGATTGTACATTTTAACCAATATATTCTGAATATATTTCTTTTTACTTTCTGTTCATAACATTTATTCCCCGCAATCTTAATTACAATTAATCTTATAAAGAGATAATGTAGTGTCCACATCAGATATTTTATTTTCCACTCCACTTTTGTGTTCTTGTTCTCCCCCCCCCCGTATATGTATGTTTATGTGTTTTCTGTGGTCTCCCATTTAAATTTGTAACATTGAATTTTTAGCACAAAAAACTATTAAAAATATTAATGATATATTAAAAATACATTAAATAATTTTAATGTATCTTTTCCCTTGCATTTATTTAATATGATTTTCTCCTTGCTACATGATACAGTTTTATACCAATGAATAATTAATTATCAGTTTTATTAATAATTTATTTTGTACTCAATTGGGTCTTGAGTATGTCGATCGACGATTCTAATCCTTGATCATCAGAGAACTCCTTTAAAATTTTATCATCCCCCAGGGGAAAAATTCTGCCCCCAATTGAGAAACCCTGTTCTAAATTTCTTCAATACTTCACTAATTTAAATAAACTTTAATCGAATATATAAAGGCAAATAAGTTTACATTATTATATTCTTGGTTTCATTAATGTACACGCTCAAAAGTTGCGTGTAAATTTAAGAGTTAGACTAAACAGAATACATTACAATTAACTAGTAATAATATATAATGTAGAGTTTCCTTTAGTTAACTAACATTTTATTCAAATTTTGTTATCGTTCCTGAACTCCTCAACTTCCCCTCGCATTTCCTCGCCAGGATGTAAATTTAAAGTTATGTGAAGTGAGTATTTAAACGGGTGAATCTCTGAGTTTAGTCAGAGCGAGTTTTCTCTAGCTAGCGCACGTTTTGCTGGTTATCTCGCTGTTATGCCAGTACGCCCATTGGCCATTTTGGATAATTGTCACGACCGTTAGGTTTTTGTAGAGTCAACCTAACCCGTAACTTAACGTGCTAGTCCAGCACTATTCGAGTTGATTTATGTTAAACAACGTTTAAGTTCCACCACAAGTGGTCGGTGTCATTGTAAAGCACGAAATACGTCCCTTTCTGAGTTGAATTAATAAAGGGTTGGTTTCACCCTTTTTCTATACTGGTATTTACTTTCTCGCCTGTGCGAGAATTCCTGTGCCAGGCTCATATGTAGGATCTAGTTTAGTTTATGTGGAAAAGAAGAGACAGATCTTACAATATACGAGGCAAGAGAATATGTTTTATCAAAATTAGGCATAATTATAACCATTAATAAAGTTTCATTTTAAGGATAATGAACACATTTCGAAGATGCGATGTAACGCGAAACTTTCATCTTCATTTTCATATTCACGAAAAATTATGAAATAATTATTTAGCTTAATAGGTACAGGTCTGTTATCGGGATCAGAACCTTTGCGAAGTGTTTTGATAAACTCTCCAGTAGATTAGTTCCTATGAAGTTGTTATTGTTTTCTTTTAAAGTTCGTTACAATGTTTGCCTTTTCAAAAAAGTTTAAAAAAATGCCTTTTCAAAACTGGCAATAAGATTATAAATTCTAAAGATGTAACCGATCATCTGTGTTTTTAGTATTATTGTTTTTACCAAGGATAGGAAAATTTGGGACTTATCTAATGATAAAATATCTCCACGCAATTTCTTCAGGAACGAGAAATTATTCACTCTGAAAGAAAGTGCACGAAAAGCATAAAATGAAGCTCTGCTTCAGTTCGAAAGAAGCGAAGAAATAAAAATGCTGGGATATGATGTGCCGATATAAAATGTTTACGTTCTCAAACTTGGATCGAGAATCAGTTTCTTAACGGTAATTCGTTTCATTTATGCATGGTGTTTAGAATTAACTTGTATTGAATTTTTTCAATATTAGCCTGACATGAATTACTGCATTATATTGTTATAACAGTTATATAAAGGAAATTTGTGGCATTGCATTAATGTCTAGATCATCATTTACAACAGGCGTCACTAGTAATAGTGTCAAAGTTGACGGAAGTTTGTTTTCTCGTTGAAAAACATTGTCAGTCGTATCCTTCCATATCGTGGGTGTGCAACAGGATTTTCTGAGAAACAAAAGAACTTTTTAGTTGCAGTGCCTAGCCGCTCTGCCGGAACTTTCTACTCTGCATTATAATATACTAAAACTGTTGTAACACTGAAGAATAAAAAATGGCCGGATTTGAACATTTCTACATTAACCATAATTAAATTTTTATTAATGCCTAAAACGCAAATTTTTTCAGATATTTGAAATCACATCTGCTTCATGCCTAAGAGTTAATCTCAATTCGATAACAGATATTTTCTTGTTTTTCTGAAGAATTGCTTAATTTGCATTAAACTTTTTTAACTGTATGAATGTATGTTTTTCCCTTATATTTTTCTTGAACTTAATTGCGTTGTAAGTATTTTGGCGATTGCTTTTATGCTTTGAATGATTTGCCAGATCATCAGATTTTAGAGATATCTGAGTTCGGTATCTATAACAGAGCAGTACCGCTTAATATTAAGGCTTTTCTCTAGTGTTTCATAACTCATCGCGTAAAGTCCACAAAAATAATGAGAAATGTGTTTGTTTACATAATGAATTTGCATTAACATTGTATGAAAAGTATTTTCCTGCAATTTAAATTAAATTCGCTTTTATTTTTTTAACGTTTATTCAATTCTAACCGAAGGAAAATTAAGCTTTAATGCAAAATACTTGTAGATTTGGTAACATTAACTATATGTTCACTGGATACAGTCTTCAAGCAGAGGAAAAACGAAAGGTAATTCAAATTTTAATGAGCCGATTGTTATATTAAGCTAAATTTAATGGAAAACTCGGTTGTATAAATCAGAAATAAACTTTTAACGGAGTAAATTAAAAGAATGCATCATTTTTGATTTAGTAAATTGACTCTAATTTGACTTAGTAAATGAAGTTTTATTATAATTTTTTTTATTTTTCTTCGAATTTGTATTTGATGTTATGGAATGATTAAAATCACCCAAATTCCTCATTGATTGAAGTTCTGGCATTATATGACATATGAATATAAATGAATATAACAAAATATATCCGTACATATGTTGCAGGGATTACAGTATTCGCTATCACAAAATATATATTTATTTTGATTTTATTATTGAATAACTTACAAACATAATATTTTAACAGCGGAATTCGTAAATTGCTCTAATTCCCATGCAGTTAGCCGGAAGAAATAGCAGCTTATATCTTTTCTTTAATGAAATTTCTAATTCATTTTATTCGTTTAAACATCGGTACTTTTTAAAAGTAAAATTACCACAGAAAATTCCACCTACGATTTATCTGACAACTAATGTTTTTACTTCTACTACAAAGTGATATCACACTAATTCCCTTTTTGTATGTATTATAAAATAGAAGAGTGTGCAGAGAACATATACTTGGTGGACCTAGAATTTTGATGTGTTTGATGCTCAATGAATTTAAAACTCCAGTGAAGAAATTCTACAGAACCTGGTTTGAAATTTGATTTAAATGTTAAAGATCGTAAAACGAATTATGCCTAACGTTTGTTCAGATCAAGCATACATTATTGATTTTTTCATGCTTTTTTATTACATCAATTTTAGTTCTTTCACGTATCACATCTTGCAACCCACTGTAAAAATAAAATATATGTAGGATTGGGACTGTCTTATTATAAAAAAGAAGTGCATATCTTCTGTAAGGCTAAATAGGCATGAAGATATTGGCTAGTCGTACAAATATTTTTACAACAGAAGCTAGAATTTGAGAATTCGCTGAAATGAGCTTTCAAATAGCTAAGACCTATCAATAGACAGAGCGAAAACCTTCAATACCTAAAGGCGAGAGGTCTTGTTTAGCGAACGTAGATATCCTCCGAAGACTTGTCAGTATCTGTCTCTTTATATAGAGCTTCTCTCTTTCTACAGATTTTAAGGATTCTTTTTTACTCTTTTTCTATGAGCGGATGAATGAGAAAGGCTCGAGACACTTCCCTTGTAAGTTATTTGCGTTCTGTTTTCTAAGCGGGCTCAAACAGCTAGGAATCCATTTAACTATTCCCTTATCATAAGGTGAAAGAGTATCATAATCTTATTACAAACATAATCAGAGACTACGATCAATTATGATCATATTAAATACATAAAACATATGTATCATTAATTTCAAATTGTTAATAGTCTAAGTCATAATAAGAATGTATCCAGACAACAAATTTTCTGATATTTCAAGGGCTATTTCAAATGTCAACGAAATCACCTAAGGTCTAACTCAAAGGTTCTGTAAATTCGAAGTAGATAGAGCAAGTACCAGCATTAGCTCTTTTGACAGTTTCTTCTGAAGAGCCCACTGCATATGCCTGTTTAAATCATCATCAGAGTAATTTTTCTTAAAAAGCAGCAAGAGCGTTTAGTTTGCGTTCGGCTTGTGAACACTCACTTTATTAAGCCAGGAGAACAAGTTCAAGTTTGTTACTATGTATTTAATCAAGCCCTTAATAGGTTTTTAGGATGAAATAGGTATTCCTGTAAGTTGGAATGTAAGATGAATCTATATGTTTATAGAACTTGGTTAAGAAAATGCATTGATACTTTAATCTTAAATTGCTTGAACATATTCAAGCCGTAGATTTCCAGTAGGTAACAGTCTTTCTTCAAGAGACAATGATACGTAAATTCGACGATTGTTGAAGTAATTATCAGCAATTTGTAAATTCATATCCGGGATAGGTATAGATAATTCAGAGCCAGTAATAATACGTAAAGCTCTATTTTAAGCAATATAAAGTTTTCATAATGTACTTGCACAGACAGTGATCATAATGAAAGTCTGAACTCATAAAGGGAACTCAAATTTTCAATCGAAATTTCGTTACTTACTACGTATTAACGCGTAAGCACTTTGGCGCCTTATGGCGCATTTTTACAGAAGAAAAATGTAATTAAAATTTCGGATTGTAACTTACAACAGGATATGGCTACCTAAAGAACTATTATGCGTAGGTTATCTAGATTTTGACGATTTCTGCTAAGGTGATTGCGATAATACGAAAGTACCTAAATTTCCTGTGTTCCACTCCCCTTCATTCCAACAAGTAGAATTAGACAACTTTAAATATTTTCAATTATTTTTAAAAACTGTTTATTCCAATTTCACTTCACATCAAGAGAGCCCTCACGTTCAAAATTGTCCTCAAGGATTTCTCAGAAATTGTGAACTATAATTTTACGAATTTGTGTGGAATGCGATACATAGCATTATAGCGCACAGATAAAAAGGAAAAAAATTAAGAGCACTACATATAATACAAAACAGTAACATGAACAATAGAAGCTGAAATAATATATTACAGAAGAGTACAGTAACAGTTATAAAAGATTCCAGAATTGTAAATTTAATATTATTTCATAAAATTCAAATAAACGCTCTTACCCGATATGCTCCTCTCAAACCTCCATTGTCAGCCATACTTTCTAATAGCGTCTTTTTGCTATTTATCTGAAAAAGACATAATTTTCGAATATATATTCAAAAACTTTTTGAAATACTTTTTCCTGATAAAGACCACAATTTCCGCCTGCATATATTAGTATAACTCCACTAACTTTAGGGTTATCTGTTAAATATTTTCTGTTATTAAATAAACACATATGGAATTTAAGCAATTCTCACCCCTTTTCAGTTAAGAATATGTTTCCTCTTTTTCATTAATCTCTACTATTAAATAACGAGGAATCTGTTTGAATGTCTCTCGCTTTGCGGAAAAACGCGGTCACTCTAGTAAGCCTCTTGGGCCTTAACAGTTTTTAGTATCACGTCGGTTAGATTTCTGTGAGTCCATCTCTTAGGAGTAATTTTAAAGTGCGTTTTTGCACTCGTTTATTTTTCAGATTTGATTTACATTATAGTCTACGTTTAGTTACCCCCGTAAGTGAACGGTGTTTATGTGTAACGCACGAAATCCGTGCTGTCTGTCATTTTAGTTTGAGTTAATAAAGGGTTATTTTGCACCCTTCTTCTGTGCTGGTATTTAATTCACGCCTGTGCGAGAATTCGCCAGGTTCATCCTAGGATCCAAGTGTGTGTATGTGGACAAGTAGAGATAGATCTTATTATGTTAGCTAACTCATCCTCACTTAGTTCTTCATCAGCCATTATTTCTTCAATGTCTGCCTGAGCTAAATCCTTATGACCTTCTCCTTCTATAGTTTGGGACAATTTAGTGATCTGAGAATATACATGCTCTAATGGTAATCTATCATTCTCATCTTTAGCAGCACCCGGCTATATTGCTTTCCAGCATGAGTTGAGCGTTGATTGTTTGATCTGAGTATATGACAGTTCAACATGCTTAACACAATTTAAGATTGCAAATTTCTTCCAAGCATCTATAAGAGTAAAGAGATTCATCATTCAGATATTCAGATAAAAAATCATTATCTTTCAGTTTTTATCTACACACTCAACTATTCGAGAGCAACGTGTTCATATTGCATGAAATAAAATACTTTTACCTTCCATGCATCAGCAAGTTGCCATTCAATCAAGGATAAGATATTTTACGTTCGGATTTAATCTGCCTGTTACTGATTAACAAACCAAGCGATTTAAAAGCTATCAAATCAGTTTCTAAGGATATTTTTTCTACTTTTAATCTGATTAAGCTATGTAAAAATGCATTTAAATCTGGAGACATCTTATTAGAAATATTAAATAATTTCATGAAATACAAGCTGGATTCATTAAAATCATTACATACTTTTTCATTCTATGATAACTATTTTAGGCTGTTAGCTGAGCAAGTGGCTACTCAATAAAATATTTATTTTTGGTTAATGACTGTACGTTATTCTATTCTTGTTCGCTCTCTGTACTATGCTCGCTAAATATTTCATGGTTATTTATTTCATCGTTGTTGCTAACTATTTTACAATAATCATCATTTTCAACTCCATCTAATAAAAATCGAAGCCAAATCATTTGTTGATAATATGTTCCACTTTGTATTCGAGAACATTATGTTTCCTTTTTAGAAACACGAAGATAAGAAAATTCAATAAAAAGTTTTGCACGGGAGTTTAAGAAATCTGAATTTTGTTAGGATGCGCTTGAGGCAAATATAACCACAAAATAATATTTAAAGTAATTATTAAATTAATTAAATAATTAATATTTAAAGTAATTTTTTAGAAAATAAACAAAATAGAATTTCAACTCTATCTAAAATAAGGGTCCTAGAGTTGATGTCTACTGAAGAACGAAGTGGTAGTGAACCATAGTTTAAGAGAAATATTCGATTTTATGGAGTTGGAGTCAAATAGACTCAATGTCAAATAGACCTCAATTCATTTAGGCTTACTCAATGAATTTTTAGCATAGTAATTGTAAAAAAGGGATTTTTTTCAATTTTACGGACAACACACATCAAGCAATTTCCTATAGAAAGCTGCTCCATTCTTGCTTATTCGTAACATTTAAATTGTTTTTATCTCTTGTGACAGCAATTCTGCTTTCAAGGCAAATATTCTCATTAAATGATTTGCAAAATGTAGCGTTCTAATTAGTTCTTTGTTTATTGAAATAACTAAACTGAAAAACAAACTTAATCTAAATAAAAAGAATAAAGCTGATGTCGAAATCATGTTTCCTAGTGTCACGTATGAAGTTGGCATATTTCTGAAGAAACAAGTTTTACATTTGTTGTCCCATTAGAGTTGGTCGAATTCTGGTTGTCATGGCATGGGATCAAGAGATACTAAGAGAAAATTCAGCGACTGAAAATCTTGGAAAATGTTTTACTTATACATTATCTTACTTTTTAGGAGTCGTTAAATTAGCCTATAGAGAAAAGATTTGGCGTTTTCGGGATGTAAACAGCTCTAGAATCTTCAATTAAAAAATTCTATCAATTTATACGTTACTGTTGGCCCCCCACATGGAGGTTTGAATGAAAGGAGACGCCATCCTCGCACTACGGCTGATGCATTGCTGCCGAGCTTTGGTAGCTGAAGAGGGTGCGGAACTTTCGCTTACATCTAGAACATGTTATCTTGACAGCGATTTGGTAGTACACAACAGTTTCACACTCGACATTTCAACATAAATCGAAAAGCATGGATACCTCCGCATAAAAAAAAAACAATCATTGCTGGATGGGGTATTTGCAGTTTGTATGGATTAGTGCCATTTCAGCACAAATCATATCTTGGTTACCTTTGGATAAAATGTAACAGGGATTTGAATAACGTATTGGTTATATAAAATTTTAAGCTACTGGATTATAAAAGTATAGATTTTAACGAATTGTTTTGTTGTGTGTAAAGAAGGATAGATAGCTTAAAATACCACTAAAAGTATAAAAATATCGCAAAAACTTAACACATTTTAAAGTTCAGTTTCCTTATGGTCAACTGGTATAAACATGATACTTATTTCGATGCAATTGTCAACGTATATTTGTTATTTTTATTTTATGTTTCAAATATGAAAATGCTTTCACTAAAATACCTTTTTTCAAAAAAAAAATAAAAAAAAATAAAAAATAAATAAAATTAAAAATAATGCAAGTAATTTTCATTAAATTTATATTTATGAATATTTCTTGTGTAAAAGAAATTTTGATATGTTCTAAATTATTGTAAATTACTTTACTCGAAAAATATAGTGAATGTACAGAATTTAAAGATTTGCAAGTGTCGAACATGGAAAATATTAAAGATGCATAAGTATTTATGTATATCCTAATAAAAAGCATGCATTTGCTTGTGACAAAATACGTAAACACTTATTAAATTATTTCTAAATGTATCTGGAAATGAAGGACTTTTTCATTCATAACATCTGTGAATGTTACTTTGGAAAAATCTAGTTGTTAAATACACTGCCTTCAAAAAGTTAAGGAAAAGCATGTGTTTCAAAGCTCACCATTACAAAAATGTCAGTAACGTTTAAATTCACAGTTCATATGCCTGATAGTAATGACGTTGAGGAAACTTTGTGCAGAAACAATGGCAACCACTTTTATTTTATGAAAACCAATACTTATATAGGAGTTGGAGAAAAAATGCAAAAATTTTAATTTCTGTTCACGAGTGCTGATCTTTAGTTGTTATTACACTTTCGTGGACAATATCCAGGAAAGTATGTCAATGTTCAGAAGTAGTTTGACCGATTCGTTGAGGTGGCGGGCGATCGGATGGATGGAAATGGAGATGTCACAAGCTGATGCTGTTAGACTTCTCAATGCCTCTCGTAGTGTGGTCCACCGACTATGGAATTAGTTTGAACCCGAGGATTCTGTGTCTAGAAGAAATGTTCCAGGCAGACTTAGAGTTACAACACCTGTGGGAGACCGTTAATTAGCTCTTTCGGCTCGAAGAAGGAGCAACATTACTGTGCCTCATCTCATGGTAGAAATATTTAGTTGCAACAAAAACAAGAATCTCTGCTACTACAGCGCAGACGCCTGCACAATACAGGTCTGTATGCAAGACGACCAGTTGTTTTGTATCCCCTTGACCCGAAGACACAGAGGTGCCCGTTTATGTTGGGCAAGAGAACACGTCTCCTGGATCAGTCAACAATGGGCGTCTGTTCTCTTCACAGACGAGTCCAGGTTCCCACTGGAGAGTGATTCAGGTCGTCAGCTGATCTGGAGAGAATAACGCAGTAGATACAACCTATCCCACATTGTGGAAAAGACATAGTTACAGAGGTGTGGAATAATGGTTTGAGCTGGGATCTCTCTCGGTGGTCATACTGATCTGCATGTATTCCATGGAGGAACTTTGACCAGGGTGAGATATCAAAATGAGATCCTTGATCAATTTTTGATCAATTTGTCCGCCCATATGTCTGTGCTATTGCTCCTGGATTTCTTCTGGAGGAAGACAATGCGCGAACGCGCCGATCTCGGGTTGCTGAAGAATATCTTGAGGATCACGGTATGGAGCGGATGGAATGGCCGACTCCTAAATTTGATACAGCATCTTTGGGACTGCCTTGGGAGACATGTTGCTGCTTTAAGTCCTCTTCCGAGGTCGTTAGATGAGCTTGAACAAGTATTACTACGTGGTCGTTGCTTCTTATTTCACTGACCGACAACTTAATTGACAGCATGGAACGTCGCTGCCGCCAATGTATTGCAGTTAGGGGCGGAACACAGTCCTTATTAGAACCCGTTTTTGTAATCCTACCACCCCGTTTTTTTCTCAAAAATGGGATTCACTGTTTCTCCAAGACTGGATTTCTCTGCCAGGAGTGCAATGTTTTGTTGTAATTCATGTTTGTTTTGAACTTTAGAAATATTCTATGTCGCATTCATTAAAGATTTAGTGAACATGTCCTCTAAATTTCTGGCTTCTATGTTGTTTCATTCTCAAATTAGACAAAAAAAAAAAAAAAAAAAAATGTTGTTCCTTAACTTTTGGAGGGCAGTTTATATCTAAATTCATAATGATTGTAAATGTTATCTAAATATATATAATCTTATAATATATATATCTTAACACTTAATTATAAATATAAATTGAAATTTCGTTGACAGATATATTTATAAAAGTATTTCAGCGAGAATTATTCGTACTGGAAAAGAACAATATATTAAAAGTCGTTTTAAAGCACAATCTATGGAATGCGTAATTAAGGAAGTAGCGTATAGTATGCGGACTAAGTAAAGTGGAATTTTTATTTAGAACGCATATTGCTGAAATTAAGGGTAACAAATTTTGATAGGTATTAAAAATTATTTTTTTACAATTTATAATAAATAAGCTAAAAGTTTTATATAATGTCAACAAACTCCCCTTTTTTATCCCTTTCAGAAAGTATTTCAAAAGACATTCTGAGAATAGAAAAGAAATAATGCCTGATTTTTTAATATTAATGGTACAATAAACTTTGATTTTGATTGCTGTAATGGTTAACCAAATAAAATTGAATTATCTTAAAATTTCTCTCTAGTGTAATTAATTTGTGAAAACATTTCATTCAAATTAAAACTTTTCTGTGGAAATTATAGCATTTAAGTCCATTCATAATGAAATGTTTAAAAATGTATTCTTTCCCATACTTAGAGCTCTGAAATAAGAATAAATGCAGAAAATATACTGCATTTATTCTTAAATTTATGATGTAATTACAAAATGTTTACCTCCGCTTGTCAATACCTATTGATCTTAGCAACAAATCATTGAATGTTTTGGTCACCAAAAAGGGGTTTGACATTGCTTTGAGGGAGTTTGTATGGAAAAACTATTTCGGGCCTCTGCTCTATTTCCTACGCCTATGGTCCCACACAGTTTATATGTACAGGTAGCATTACTGTGTAATCTATTCATATAGCCAATATTACCGTGGCTCCTTTTTATCCATACATTAAGCATTCCTGTATATATTCCTGCATAAATATAGAGAAATAACAAAGAGGCAGACATTTTATATATATGTTACCTTCATTCTACTTTCAACATATTGTTCTTTGAAACACTGCTGGCCATCTATTTCGTTCGGCTGCCTACTATTTTTACTAAACTGCTGAGCTGCAATACAAAAACCAATATTAAAAACGGTATGAGCAAACACTCATAAAGCTTTTACATATTTGGTTTTTAATTTTAGGATTAATTTTACTGAAATATTCATAAGCTGCATTAAATGTCTCCAGTTATCTGCATTTGTAAAGGTAATACAGTATTATACAAAACTCGACAGCAAATAATCTAAGCAATTGATATTAAATATATCATGCTGAAATAGAGATAATCTCTTTACGTTTTAGTGATGTATTCCTAAATTTTCAGAGTGTCCAGTTTGGCTGCTAATATAGACATCTATGCGATAATCCTTTTCCTTCTATACGACAGTATATCAGTGTCAATAAAAGATGTACAAATGCAAATATTTTCCCTGTTCAGTTTGTGAGCGGTTCTTAAATATGGCTCTCGACTTCAGTATCAAATATCTCGGTTAATTTAGAAGTCGAATATTTTGTATTTGATTTCTTTTAATGAATACAAAATGTTGCTAAACATAAGTATAAATACTGAAAAAATTGTGTAAAATGTTAGATTTCGTAATTTTTACAAGATAAATTTCTTAAAATTTAACAGGAATCTATGAACTATCGTTTCAGACCTTCGTTTTTGAAAGTATATGTCAACAATCAGTGGTTGAAAAAAAAAAGGCCGGGTAAGGATTTCTGTGGATACTGTGTATATGCTTTTACTCTGCATTTTATTTGTATCTCAGCACCTAAGGATAGGTTTGTGAACAGAAAAAAGCTATCTGTGCGATACGATTTTGTTAATTATAGCTTACCTTATATTTTTATGTAAATAATTTCTTCACCTATATCATATAATCCATACACAATTTGGCGACCAAAAGCAAACCCTAAGCCTCCAAAATTCAAATACCTGAAATAAATGTATGAATTATAAGATTTTAAATACATTATAAAAGAATGATATTAATGTAAAAATGTATAACTCTTCTGAAATGAAAGCTATATATAGTGCGTTAGTAACTTACCCGGGTAAATCCTTGCTAAAATATGGATAACGCAAATATTCCTCGGGGAGTTCTGCAAAGACAGCGCTGTCAGTGAAGAACGTTTCGTATATCAGAAATAAAAATTGAAATATTAGTATTTTGAAATATTAATGCAGGATTTAAGAATGGATTAATGTGAGCAAAAGCAGACATCTCTAGAATCACATTTTTTTCTTTTGTACACTGCGGGGGGAGAGGTAATGAGACAGTTCTCCACCTCATGTTCTACTTTGCCGATTGAAGAAATTCAACTTGCGTTTTCCATGTCACGAAAGCGCGACTTAGGATATATATTGGATTTATATATAGCTATATTATTTATACTTTTACTATAGATATTTTGACATAAAATCGGACTTTTTCTGAAATGGCATGACAATCTTTTTTCCATATTTCGATTCTAGGACTCAAATTATGCCAAACAACCAAGCTTTGTAAAAATCACACGAGTAGTTTTTAAAAAATTAGCTCTCAAAATTTTAGCTCCTCAATGTTAATTGAATTTGATATATATTTATTAATATCTCTTTTTTTTTATTAAACTTTCTTCATTCCTTCTTCCAGAATTCGAAATTTTTGGCTTAATCCAAATAAAATTTGAGCATTTTTTATAATTAATTTTTAAAATTTGTATTTTAAAATATTTTTATAAAATTTTCGAAAAAGATTTTTGTACTATAACCTATAAGCTTTTTAACATTGTCTTAAAGCAGATGTATTTCTAGGCGCACCTGCAAAAAATTAGATATTTTTATTCGAATTTTTTTAAGGTATACATAAATTTACATAGAAGAGCGTTTTCAAATTTGGCATATTTGTTATAAGCTATAATAACGGCCAATGTGGTTTACGCACTTTATTAATACAGGGTGTTTATAAAGTCCCGGACACATTTTGATGTTTAATAACTCATAATAAACAAACTTACGGCATTTATTGATGGAATAACTTATATATTTTCCTTTTCAGGTTTGAATATCTTTACTTTTGGAAATATCGTCTGCGCGTGTGGTTAATTTCAGATAATTTCATTTTCCAGTATAACTATCTGTACTTTTCTAAATATCGTCTGCTTATTAATTGCATTTTTCTCTCTTTTGTTTTTGGCAACTATTGGAATGTTATGTTTACTTTTGATGTGTTTGTTATAGTATTTTTGTATGTGATGTTTTTATTCGACCGGATTTAAGGAGAATGCATACACCACAATACATGCTTGCCGGTACCTGGCGTGAAATTGAATATCGACTTGATACTCTCCGAGCGACGAAGGAGGCACACGTGAAAGTTCATTGACAAGGGTAAACGGAAAAATCCGATTAAAGTTAGAATTACTGCGGTTTCATCATACCAGTATGACCACTGCTTGTCGTTACTAACATATTGATTTCAATTATCACAGTTTTCCATTTTATCTGATAAAAGAACAAATAATAAATTTTATTTATTCTAATTTTAAAAAAGACATTTTGCACTCCGAAATAAATCAATCTCATTTTTTAATGACGTATACAGAGTATAGTCCCGGAAACTCGACATAATGTACCGCAAATACATAAATACTCATACGCATAAATAATAATTATATGTACTGTATGTAATATTTGTTCTATTTGGCCTACAGATATTTTTAAAAAGTTCCAAAAAACGTTGTTGAGTCATACGGAATCTTAAGATACCGGGATTTGAGTTTGCGGGATTACACTTTTATTCGCAAGTTAAGTTAATTCGTAATGTTAGGCTTATTCGTAAGTTTTACATTATACTTAGAGTTTAAATGTGTCTCGTATTATATGCAAGTTTCTTTCTTTGTATAAGAGATGTTGTTTTAAATTTAAATAATAATAATTTAAATAATAATAATTTTAAATTTAAATTAATTATAACTGTATAAGTATTTCAGAGACAATACAATAATACGATTTTATATAACAATAACACAATAACTGGGCAACATATCTGCCATCCTAGCAATTATCGGAGATCGGAGATCATCATTCGTTAAGTGGTGTTCGACCCGAGGGCCTTTACCACTACATGTTTATCAATCCCCTAAGGACCTGTAAAAGTTCGTTAAATTCCATAAACTGGAAAAGTCATGTGCACTTGTAATAAGAGTGCAAACTCTTCAGTAGTGAAGAAGTTGATCAGGGGTGGCGCCATATATCGGCCACAGATGAAGTCTTCGTTGGATAAGCTATAATAGCAACTAATAATTTTTCCATATCTTCTACACATTATCGTAGATTTGACACAGTATCGTACAATAACCTAGCAATCTGTGCAAAACGCTACTATCTCACGTGACAGAGCGTCGAAAAGTAGAAGAAAATATTATGATAACGAATGCATCATGCTGTACGCCAAGGTAATAATTATAATATGGTACTAATTTTGTGAAAACGTTTTTGGTGTTTTAAAAAAGTGTTTGTCTGTTACGACGTATGCTATTTGAGATGCCCACATAACGTCACGCTCATGTATCACATATATTATTTCATAACATAAGTTTTTAATCATTTTTGGCTGTTATTAAATGTTTTCGATTATTTTTTGCGAGAAAGGCCTTTCCTCATGAAACAAATGATATTGATTTTTGAATTTAATTTTCATCTTTTTCATTTTCATCTTTCATCGAAAATATATTTACTATAAAAATGTTGAATTTATAGGTAATAAAAATAAGTCCTTTCTTTTAGTTTTGATTTATTGTAGTTTTTGTGTTCATTAAAGAGTACAAAAATTCAAAGTATCCGAGTGATCAATCACTTTTGTGAGCCACTGTATTTATAATGGATTACGATTCGACGAATAAGTTATTCGTCAGAAGTTCGCTAGAAAATTCGTAAGTGACCCGACAGAAAGGCAAGAAGCATTTTGTTGGAACTTGAAGTTTAAATGTAACATAAATGGATGAAGCTAAACTCGCAAAATTTAAGAACAAATGAAAAGTTATCCGTTCAGCCATTACCAAAGTAAACAAGTTCCATTGAATCTTTTGTTGCTTCTTGTAATATTGAAAACATAGAAAAAATAGAAATTTTAAAAGTAAAAGCAGCTTCTTTGAAAGAGTTAGATAAAAAAATTAAAACTTTAACTGATGTTAATATCATTGAAACCGAAACTGAATGTGCCCTGGAATATGAAAAAAAGATTGCAAAATAGAATTTCAGAGGCACAAAATTATTGAAAGAAAAAGGAAATTTCAGTATATTCACTAGTTTCTAATGGTTCTTTCTCGTGATATAGTAATGTATCTGTTATTTGTGGTGTTGTTAATAGAAGCTCTGATGTTAAGTTGCCAAAAATTATGATTGCTAAAATTTTATGGAAATGCCGAAGCGTGGCAGACATTTTGCAATACTTTTGATACGGCAACAAATGAAAACGAAAAGTTATCCAATATCTGCTTAGTCTATAGAAGGTACATCTTTAAAAACTGTCAAAGGATTTTCATTACCTCCAGAGAATAATGACGAAACGCTTAACGAAAGATACAGACGGCAAGATCTCCTTATTAATTCTTTCAAAGAATGAACTGTTAAATTTACGACCTGTCTGAAATTGAATGATATTCATTCTTTGAGAGAATTATATGATACCTGCGACGTACAAATAAGGTCCCGAAATTCGTTAAAAATCAAAATTGAACTTCGTTATCTTAATTTAAGAGTTACTCGAATCTTCCTGAGAAACATTTTAATCCATCAAAAACGAAACAGTTTTTCCACTCGTAATTCTTTCAACGCCAAACCGATTAGTCATTCTCATAATGCAAACAAAATTGCAGCTGTTCAAACTTTTTGTTGTTCTTCATTTTGTAGAAGGAAAGATCAGGCTTCGGAAAAACGCGCTACGTCGCCAGAAGAAAGAAAAAGAGTTTAAAAGATTCCTAATCGGTGCTCTCTTCGTTTTCAAAGGAACTGTAGAATACAAATTGTCCTTTTCAATCAAAATGTTAAAAATGTAATTCCAAGTATCATAACACGTTGAATGAAGATATAAGTTGCAGGGAGATAAGAAAACTTTTATAAGGAATAAATTAAGATTACGAGTGATTCTATCGCCGTAACCGCAAAGATTTCTGCTAAATATTTTAGTATGAATTAAGAAGCTAAAGGATAATTGATGGTTTGCGGACCGTTAAAATTATTTGTGATGGTAAGTTATTTAATGGAGTAGCAGATACAAGTATTCAATTAATTGTTGCTAAGGCTGATATTGTACCAGAAAGATATCAAATCCTACATGGAAGTGTTATTCTCACGCCAGCTTTCGGACAGTCTTTAAGTGCTCCTCTCATTAACTTCTCTTTATCGAAGTATTCTGAAGATGATAAACTTAAGTTACCAATTTTATAACATGTGCAATGGTTAATAAGTTATGTAATGATTTACTTTTGTCGTTTTCTTTGAGTTAAAATGCTTTTAATGAGTTTAATGAAGATGATAAACGAAAACTTAATTTTGAAAGCAAAAATGTAAACATTACTAATGATAGTTTGGTTAAAATCCGTTTTTACAAAACTGTAGTAATTGTTATGGATCCAACGGGATTTTAGTTGCCCATATTACATTAAATGCCGTCACTATATAATTAATTATATATAATTATACTAAAATCAGCGCAAAACATAATAAAAATAAATCTTTCGTTCAGGAGCAGATGTATTGCATCTCTCGACAGCCGTTCTCTATTCTCCCTCTGCGTTTCTACTTAGGATTGACGTATTTATCGGCATACATGCGCAAGGTGCATTCCTGGTCCTCATCGCTATTACCACAGAGTTTTCCCCTAGTTCTTTTTAGGTGGCCGCAGGCAACGAAACACGGGTTCCTGTGTCGATGCCCTATCCCAGGCTAACAAGATATGTGATAAACGTAGCACGAAAACATAACGTATAAGTAGTATAATAATGTATAATAAGCAGAATGGTCCTTGTAGCAAGTCCTTGTAGGGTGGAAAAACGATAGTAAAATACAAAGCGAAGTATGTCCGTCGATGTCAAAGTTTGTATAAAAAGCACTGATA